ATCACTCCTCTCTCATGTCTGACTATGCTCAAGTATGTGGGTATCACCCCTGAGCTCATGCCTCCTCGAACACGGTGTTAGCTTTGTGCAGCTACAACAAATACTATACACTGGGTGGCTTAAACAACAAACATTTATTTCTCACAGTGCTGGAGGGTGAAAAGCCCAAGATCAAGACACCAGCAGGTTCTGTCCTGGTTTGCAGACAGCTGTCTTTTCCTGTGTCATCACGTGGTGGGGAGAGAGCTCTGCTCTCTTCCTTGTCTTATAAGTACACTAATCCAGTAATGGAAGCCCCACCATCATAACCTGACCTAAACTTAGTTACCTGCCAAAGGCCCCAGCCCCTAAGACCATCACACTGGGGGGAGGGCTCCAGCGTGTGAGGGGGGCACAGCCCATCCATCACAGTGGATGCAACACTTCCACTTATCCTCCAGGTGCTTCCACACCAGCCATTTTCTGTTAAGTAGGGAAGAGACAAGAGAGTTTTCAGTAACACATACAACTATTTTGGTATAGGGCCCAAATGAATGGTGGGACAGAGAGTTTGCTTTCTACCCAGCTCATTAAATGAGCTTTAGGTATAGGGTAAGGAAAATTAATACACCTAGATATTGGGACTTGATTTCACAGATGCTTTTCCAGGGTCTTTTAAGGCCACAATTAGAGACAGGACCAGACCTTTCCATTCCTCTTCAGCTCTGCTGGACTCCAAAGCACTGCCTTTCTCCAAAAAGGAAAATTAAAAACACAAATTCTGAAGTGGTTTGATAGTCATTCAGCCCAGCAAATTTTACTTTCCATTAAAAATTACCAGCTGTCATGTGCTTAGCTTTAAATGGAAACAACTTGCTCTCAAAGAACATTTTTCAGTTGATGTCACTTGTGAGTTTTATTTTATCCTAATGAAAAATGGATTTGCATTAGTATGACTTTGGTGACAGGAAACCTCTGGGTGGAGGCCTGAGATGGCGATCTACCCCTGCCCTGAGGAGGGCAATTGCTCTGCCAGCCAGCTTGGAAGAGTGACGCTGTGGTCTGGAGGGGAGTGTGGGGGAGCAGAGAGAAGGGGTGGTGATAATGGTCTGTCTTCTTCAACCCCACAGTGCTTCTTCTCTTAAAAAGAAAATCAGTAAAAAATGCTTTTAAGTGCTGAGGAGGTTTTGGAGAGGGGAGTAAATATTTTAACATGATTAACGTTTTTTAGGGAGACAACCCTTCTGAGCCTCTGCTACACATGTGCTCAGAGCCTGTCACATCTGAGCCCTGAGCCCTACCAGAGCTCTGCCCAAAAGACGCCTCTCTGCAGGCCCTCTGCTGTGTGCAGGCGCCTCCCGGAATCTCTCATCTGTGGCAGCTGGAACAATCTCTTCGTGACGCTCAAGAACAAAACCAAACCAAAAGGATCTCTAGACTGAAGCTCCCCAAAGCCTGGACTGGTACCCTGTGCAGACATGGCTCTGTAGCATCTGACAGAAGAGCTGGGACACGCAGGCCCCTGCAGTGGCCTGGCAGACAGAGGGACAAGAGGGACCACCCAGGGCCCCCGGCTTTACCTACTGGGAGTCCCTGGTCAGGAGGGCAGAGCAGGCTCTTCAAGAGTCATTCCAGCAGGGTCCTGACCCTCTGGAAAAAATGAACTGAGGGATCAGAGACGCAGGCAGCTCGTTAAATTAGGAAACACAGATGCGGGCGGGGGCGGGGGGAGGGGCGGACACTAACAACCCCTGCATTGAGCAGGCCCCAACTTGAAGGCTGGCAATGTACTTAAAACTGTGGGCTCACAGTGGGCTCTCTTGACTCACCAGCCCCCTACATATATGCGCACATATGTACATGCACAAACATGCAGGCACACATGAACACACACGAGCATCGCACACCACCTGGGGGAGGGCTCTATGAACACTGCAGCATTCGGACCTGAGGCCAAGGGCCAACCCAGCCCAGGCGAAGCTTCCCCCGCCCCCCTTCTCCGTGCTCGCAGCAAGGGCTTGGAAGTGTCCAAGAATGTTTTGAGTAATGTTCTTGACAGACACCAAAGCTTTTTTTCTCCTCCGGAGTGTAGAGAGCTGGGGCTGCCCCCAGGGAAGACTCCCCTGGCAGCTTCTGTCTGACCAGCTGGGGCCAGCTCCAGGAACATTAAATTCTGGCTGCATTTGCAGCCAAGGCCTGGTTACTTTAGAGTCCCTCTCCTCCCCCCTTGTCTTTTCAAGCAGGAGCCAGCCAAGGTATTCGTCATATTTCTGAGCCACCCTGCTGCTTGATTTATGTGCATGCAGGGCTGGGGTGAAGACTCCAGAGGACAGTGAAGGCGGGCTCCAAGGTTAGGGGGAACTGGGATGCTAGACCCTCCTGTTACCCCACAGGTCACTGAAAGCATCTTAGGATCCAGTCTTTACTCAGCTCAGGGGTGAGGAGCACGTGGCTGTGCAGCCCAGGGCACAGAGAGGAGCTGGCTGGCTGACATCTGCCATAAAAGGAATGAGCGCCGCTTGCCCTCTCACTGGGCTTCTCCTGAAAGGGCTTTCTGAAAGACTTCCAGCCTTCTCCTTCGGGACGCTGGATGCGGTCTCTTTGGCCAAAGAGAAAACGAGTAACACATGACGCCCTTGCAGATGAGGAGGCTAAAACCAAAATGTTAATCACCTCAAAATATGCGCTGTTCTCTCCAAAACCTCTCTTGGCTCTCCTCAGAGGTTCTTTGATTGGAGACTTTTTCCTGTGGGGGCGGGGGTTACCGCTGGTATTTGGGAACACATTTGAGGGTCCAACTTGCAATGACAATTGTCATTCGGTATATTTAACATGCCTGTTATGACGACTTTGAATGGCTGAAATATTGACTGCAGCTCTTGATCTAACTAATAATTCTACAACACCCCATAAAATCTCAAGATGCTGTCATCCGAGTTGAATAAAAATGCCTCTTTTTATTCCAGTGCATACGAAAACATGAGATCACTGGAATATATTGAGAGTGAGATTTGGCAGCCTATACATGTTTACAGTTCTTGGACTCGAAGCTCTGATGGGAATCAGAGGCACTCTTTTTCCTCCTCACCTTCTTTCTTTAAGGAGGTAAATGCCAATTCCAAGAGTCTATAATCCCTTTTTGGGTATTACCTGAAGTTAACCTTGCTAAGAGGCTACCAGCGTCCTCGATTGCAGTGGCCACAGAAAGCCTGAGTCTTGAGGCCTCAGTGTAGAACTGGACCACTGAAGAGGCTCCCGCATCAAGGCTCCCCATCCACCGGGCTTGAGCAGATTATCTAAACTTACTGTCATTTCCTCAGTTCTTTGAATCATGATTTAATCTGATTCCACTGGGTAGAAGTCTAAACTCCCTTATGGTCACTGACTCTTGCTATTGCAAAGATTTGGGATTCCTTCTGGAGCCTTTGGGGGCAGCGAGGAATTGACAGAGGCTGCCTGCACTCCTGCCTGCACTGTCTCAGCTCCAGAACCCCACCCCGGACTGCACATAGAGCCATCCAGGAAGCTTTGAAACCACTCAGGCCTGGTCCCCAGACCCCAGAGATTCTGATGGCGTTGACCTGGGGTGTGGCTGAGCACCCCAAGTCTTTTTAAGTGTTATATATTCTTGTCCTAGTTATGCTTTTTAAAAATTATATATGCATGGGAAAAGATTTGAAAGAATATTCACTGATATGTTAACTATTAAGAGAAATTTTTTATTCACTTATGTGCTTTTATGTGTCGTGATTTTTTTTCCTTTTTCAACAAAGCAAATTGGAATGAAACAACATAATAGTATAAAGGGAAAAAAGCTATTTCCCACTTAAAAGGAAAGAAGTTCAGGATACCCAAAACGGAACTCCTCGTCTAGCTCCCTAACCTGATTTTCCTCCTGCGTCCCCAGTTCCGAAGTGGCACCAGGTCCTCACCAGAACACCTTCGGCGGCCTCCTGGTGTTTTCAGAGCAACTCCAGGGGCTCTGAGGGGCTGCGGAGCCAGCCCGCGCAGCCAAGGTCCCCGCCTGTGGCCCGTGCTGCTCCCACGAGCGGGCGCCCTTCCGTCCCACCCTGCTGGCCCCCGGCCGCCTCCGGTTCCGGACACGCAAGGCTCCCATGGGGCCGCCTCCCCCGTGCCTTCACTCTGGCCCAGCTCCCGTCTTGTCTCCGGGGTGCCACGTGCGGGAACTGCGCTGGCCTGGTCGCTCTTCCGGGTTTCCTGCGCTTCCGGCCCGCTCCTGGTGCTTCCGGCCCGCTCCCTGCCCGCTCCAGGCGCTTCCGGCCCGCTCCCTGCCCGCTCCAGGCGCTTCCGGCCCGCTCCCTGCCCGCTCCAGGCGCTTCTGGCCCGCTCCAGGCGCTTCTGGCCCGCTCCAGGCGCTTCCGGCCCGCTCCCTGCCCGCTCCAGGCGCTTCCGGCCCGCTCCCTGCCCGCTCCAGGCGCTTCCGGCCCGCTCCCTGCCCGCTCCAGGCGCTTCTGGCCCGCTCCAGGCGCTTCTGGCCCGCTCCAGGCGCTTCCGGCCCGCTCCCTGCCCGCTCCAGGCGCTTCTGGCCCGCTCCCAGCCCGGCTCCGCGGAGGCGCGGCGACGGCAAGCCCTCACGCCCGGCCGCTCCTCACGGTTCTGCGAGCGCTTCCGTGCGGTCGGGCCGGGTTCGTGCCCCAGAACCGGTCCCAAGGGCTCCCGCGCCGCGCGTGGTCGCTGGGCCGGCGCGGCGGGGCAGAGGCGGGCAGTGGTCGCGGCCGCATCCCCAGACCGCCCGCTCCTTCCGCCTCGGCCCCTGCTGCGCTGTGGGCCTGCGTCGGGTCTGCCTCCCCTTCCCGCCCCGCCCCGCTCCGAGCGGGAGGGACGGCGGGAGCTGCCACCGGCCGAGGAGACGCGACTCGCGCACCCCGCGTGGGCGGGAGGGCGGCCGGCCGTCCAGGGCGCGCCAGTGCGCACGCAGGCTCGCGGCCGGCTGGCGGAGGGCGCGTCCAGAGGAGGCTCCGGCCTCTCCGCTGCCGGGCCGGAGGTGCGTCCTCGCCCCTCCCGGGACAGTGCCGGGAGGCGGGCAGAGCAGCGGGGGTGGAAGGCCGCCGTTCAGCCCGCCCGCCCGTCCCACACGCCGGAACGCGACTCCCAGATAGACCCCGGCAGAAGCGGGAGGTCGCACCGCGAGCTATGCAAACTCTGAACGCGCCACGTGCCAGACATGAAGCTAAGAGCCGTTGGATAGGGACGAATTAGAGGCGGTTCCTCGATCGCGCCAAAGCATGTGCACATAGACACAGACAACCAGTATGCCTAGAAGATGGTGAGGAGAGGTACAAATAAAGTGCTAGGGGAGATCAGGAAAGATTGTTTCCAGTGGGGAATTTAGCAAAGACTTCTTGGAGTAGGTGACATTATTTAAGCTGGAATTGAAATGAGGGTAAAATTTGGACAAGAAACACTGTTGGTTGCGGGTGGGGGATGGAGTAATGAAGATAGCAAAGGCTTTTGAAGTTGCAATGTCTGTTACTAGGTTGAGATGCATAAAACTGCTGATGTTTTACTGGTTTTGACCTACAATAACATCAGTTTCTGATGGTTCAACATAATACTTAGCAGATACGATGTGGAGCTGAGAAAACACAGGTTGTAGAGAGAAAACAGGACAGGACAAGTTCAATACCTGTCAATATCTGGTAAAATCAACATTAATTTTACCTTGTAATCATGTGTTGATAGAGATTTTCTGGCGATGGCATTTTCTACTTTCTCAAAAGGGGACTCATATTATAAAGTTTGTTGTCCAAAGACTAGTCAAAGACTTTGAGCTTTACAATCAGACTGAATTGACAAGTCACAGGAAGGCAGGATGGTCCCCCATTCTGAAATATTTGAGTTTAGATTCCAACTCCACCACTCTCTGAGCCTCACTTTGTCTCCTGAAACATGGTGATAATAATACTTACCTTCCTCCCAAGGTGGTTGAGACAATTAAATGAGATGGTGCTCTGCATTGCTTAGCACAATACCCAGCCTTGGGAAGCACCAGGAGCTGTTTGCAGGGTTATGATTTATGTCAAAGCACAATAAGCACCAGATAGTGACACCATGCCCACAGTCGCAAAGGGAGTTCCATCTTGCTGAGAGGCAGAGCTTGTTTAGATGGAGGTGGAAGGTCTGTGACCTATTTTAGTCATAGGTAGAAGAGGGGGAAAGAAGAGACAAGAAAATATGTGATGTTTCAGTTTCTCAGGTCAAGAATGACAGGCATAACAGGATGCTCCGCATGGTCCTATTATACCATCAGTTGCTTAGCAAACCTAGTAAGGAATTTCATGTTCTCAGGCCTCCCCTGGCAGGTCTGCCTGGCTCAGAGGTGGATTTCTTTTTTAGCAAAAGGGTTTTTGAAAAGTACCAAGTCAACCATCCTGGAGTGGTTCCCAGGAAAACAGTGTGGATATCGGCAAGGGCAGGCTTGCTTGGGCACCAGAGGCTCAGGAGAAACTGGCACTCAGCTTTCCAGGAAAAAGAAGCTTAGCCACTCTCGGGAAAATCTAAAACCAGAGAGGTGAGCTGAAGTGCACGTCTGAATCAGAAAGCCCAGGGTCAAGACAGACACCTGGGCCAGACTAATGTTGGCTGTGCAGGGCACGGGTGGCTCACCCATCTTGGTCCCCAGCCTCCCTCTTCATTCCAAAGCGCTCTCCTGCTGGGTTGGGGAAATGTCCTGCCACCAGCAGAAAGACTAGCTTGTGCATTTGAAAATAATTGTTGATTAGGGTTTTTAAATGACACTTAGAATTCTAAAGCAAAAGAGGATTTGTTATGGGGCACTACTGAGTAAGAAACAGTATCAGGGAACATTCTCTGGCAGCTCCCCAGCCCCCAATTGGTAGTGGTCTTTGGTGAACAAGGGACAGAGTGTGCAGGGCCAGCTGTATTTCTTGCAGGTTCCTGAGGCCAACTCAGCTGGCATCTTCCCATTTTTCTCTTCATGTCACATGCCCCTTTCCCCAGTGAGAACTGGTGGTGCTGAGGGCAGAAGTGAGTGTTAAGCATCGGGGACAGCATTGTCTTTGGGCAACAGAGAGCCTTGTAAAAGCCCCAAGAGAAGTTCTTCTCTCTGCAGCCCTAAAAATTTTTCCTGCAGTCTAAATTTATCATTCAACTCGCCACTTCCAGTCCTGCTGACAAGTCGGATAGTGGCTCTGGCCAGGAGCAATGGCAGAGACAGCAGCAGGTGAGGCCTTGGCATGGTCCACTGACACATTGGAGCCCAGAGGCCTGGGGACCCTGTCCCCAACAGGGTGACCAGCGAAGCCCCAGGCCTCAGGGCACGAGGGGCTCTTCTCTCTGGTTCCCTGCGGTGGTCAGCAGGCCCCTCTCTTGCCGACCCTCACTTCCCCTCATCCAAGAAAGCTCTGCAGAGTTTTCTCTCTAATTTCAAAGAAGGCATCACCTACCACTCAGTGCCACCATGGCTGTCCTTGAAGCACTAAACCCACCTGGGGAGGTCATTTCTGCAGCTGAGACAGGGCCCAGCCCACACTAAGTTCTTCTGATTCAGAAAGGAGTGGATCCACAGGCCCCCCTCAGGGGCCTCGAACTTTAGGGGTGAGGATGGGAGGGTCGTACCCCTTTTCCTAATGTGTGCGAGGCACTGTCTGTGCTGGCAGCAGCCCTGGAGTTGGGTCTTTCCTCAGGAGATGACATTTGAGTGGAGTCTTAAAATATGGAAAGAAGCTAGGGAAAGGGGAAGTGTGTGCAGAAGGCCAGGAGATGGAAACCGAGATTCCTCTGGCATTTCTGGGGTGCAAAGACAGGACGTGACAGCAGAGCAACCTGGAAGGAGGATCAGAGCCATATCACGATGGCGGAACATGCCATGGCGGCGTCCTGGTAAATTTTTGACAAGTGGCTATGGGCAAGGAATGGGGGGGAGGGTTGCTGATTTGTAATGTTTGTGCCAATTTCCGTGGTGTAAATACCTCCCACCATGGTGGATTTCAGTCTACCAATGGTTCGATATCCAGCTCACAAAACCTGAAAATTTAGCAATCAGCTTGCAAGCTGGTAGGGGCCAGCTCTGACAGGCTATGCATCCACCACATGCCGCATATTGTCCCTCTCCCTTCCCTGTCACAGAATTCCTACACAGTCCTTGGAGGGAGTGACCACATTAAGTGACTTCAGGCCGCTGCTACAAATCCTTTGGTCTCACTCACCTCCCCCTGCCTGTGGCTGTTTCTTGTCTCTGTCATGGATGTAGCTATGGACATTTTTCCTGTAGTTGCACAGAAAACAGTCATATAAGCATGTATAGTGTAGCCAACTTATGAAAGTGGAGAAGGTTCACATCACAGCAATGCTAATCACATCAAATGAAATGTACACCACTCTATGCTTAACTTTTTCCTTAGCCATCTCCATCATCCTGGGCTTTGGGCTCCTGCCATATTGCTTTGTCCCCCACTCTCGCCAACCTTCATTGGCCCCTTTCCATTCGATACTCCCTTCAAAATACTTCTACGGTGTCATAGAGAGAAATCTGGCCCTCTCTAGCCATGCCCACGCAGTCCTGTGCTGCTCTGTCCATATTCAAGGCCCTAGTGGTTGTTTCAAATTTGAAGGGTTTCTGGGCATGGAGTAGAATAGCAACTGTTTACACCTGGTTTAACACCCAGGTATTAATCTTATGAATTTTATAACAATTATCACTCCTTAAATTATTAATATTTCTCCAACTATTCACATACTACTAACATAGCTAATAAGTCAAACATATTTAAAACAAGACACCAGACCCTTCATATTCCTGTTCTTGGTATAACACTGAGGGGCTTACCTTCAATTATCTTTGGCTTCAGAAATCTATGTCTGGCCAGGCACAGTGGCTCATGCCTATAATCCTAGCACTCTGGGAGGCCACGGTGGGAGGATTGCTCAAGGTCAGGAGTTCGAAACCAGCCTGAGCAAGAGCGAGACCCCATCTCTACTAAAAATAGAAAGAAATTAATTGGCCAACTAAAAATACATAGAAAAAATTAGCTGGGCATGGTAGCGCATGCCTGCAGTCCCAGCTACTGGGGAGGCTGAGGCAGAAGGATCGCTTGAGCCCAGGAGTTGGAGGTTGCTGTGAGCTAGGCTGATGCCACGGAACTCTAGCCCAGACAACAGAGTGAGACTCTGTCTCAAAAAAAAAAAAAAAAAAAAAAAAAGATACCACTGCACACATGTTACAGTGGCCCAAATCCAAAACACCAAATGCTGGCAAGGGTGTGGAGCAACAGGAGCTCTCCGTCATTGCTGGTGGGATTGCAATATGGTACAGCCATGTTGAAAGACAATGTGGCAATTTCTTATAAAACTAAACATATTGGCCAGGTCTGGTGCCTCACACCTTTAATCCTAGCTCTTTGGGAGGCCGAGGTGGGAGGATCACTTGAGGCCAGGAGTTTGAGACCAGCCTGAGGAAGAGCAAGACCCTGTCTCTACTAAAAAATAGAAAAAATTAGCCAATCAAGATGTGGTGCACCTGTAGTCCCAGCTACTTGGGAGGCTGAGGCAGGAGGATCATTCAAGCCCAGAAGTTTGAGGTTACAGTAAGCTATGATGACACCACTGCACTCTAGCTTGAGAGACAGAACAAGATCCTGTCTCAAAAAAAAACCCAAAAAAAACAACTAAGCATATTTTTACCATGTGACCCAGCAATCATGCTGGGATGAAGAGGTGGAGCAGAGAGTATATTTAGGGCAGTGAAGCTACCCTGTTCGCTACTATAATGGTGGATACGTGTCTTTATACATTCGTTCAAATCCATAGAATGTCCAGCACCCTAATGCAAACTACGGCCTCGGCGTGATAATGACGTGTTATTATAGGGACCATGTGATGTGGGAAGCTGACAGCGGGGAGGGTGTGCATGTGTGGGGGCAGTGTGTACACAGGCACTGTCTGTACTTTCTGCTCAATTTTGCTGTAATCTAAAACTCTAAAAAGTAAAGTCTATTGAAAATTCATGAATTTAGCAAATTGAATTTTCACAAACATTTAACACTGATTGCAAACTTAAACAAATACCTCCAAACATTTAATTAAATTCATAAACAGCAGCTCCTCTTAAATACTATAAGTGTATTAAATATACAGAACTCAGAAAATATCATGACTCCAAAGCTGTTTAATACCCTTACACCAAGACCTGTTAGAAAATGCTAATACAGTGATTTCACTTTGTTTCTCATCCTAAATTCCACACTTTCCTGGGGTGCCAATTTTGACACCTTCCTAGAATTTCAGTAATTTTACCAAATACTATTTTTACCTTCCTAGGGCTTTTGACAATCTTACCAGACCACAAGAAGAAGAAAAAGAACCACCTCAAACTGCTGGGCTTGCAAAGTCTGGGTGATTGAACAGTAGATTCTGCATCGGGATACGAGTTGTAAAAGTCCCAGGAGATTCAAATAGGCGAGCTGCTTTTTTATAAGTGAACTTTGTTACTTCAATAAGACTTTTAAGTTCACATCTCTCAGGAAGGTGTTTGGGTTTTACAACATTGAATTTTCCCCCTGGAATGAGATGAGTTCACACCTTGCTTGGTCGGCACCGCATAGCCCATTGTCTTGGGCTGCAGCTGTCACCGAGCAGTGGTGGCCTGGGCTGTTAGCAGTGTGAAGCCGCGGGTGTCCTTGCTGGTGCTGTGTCACAGCTTAGAGGCCATCGGGAAGGCCCGTTACCTAAGGGAGGCGGTGTCGAGTCCGTGTAGGTAGTGCTCCTGTCTAGGGCCATTGGGGAACACATGGGGGACCCTCCCTTACTTGGCGGTCACGTATGACCCCAGGGCTGAGAGCCTTGTCCTGGGACAGTGCCTACTTTCCCCCAACAAAGTGGCTGACTCCATGTTTCCAGCGTTGATTCTTGCCTGCTTACACAGAGACAAGTACTATCTGTCCTTCCTAAACAGATATATGATTAATGGAAAAACTAAGACCTGCTTGTATGAAATGCCCTACTTACTAAAATCAACACAAATGAACATATCCCGTTACATCCACCCTCCTTTAAGTAGTGTGATGCGTCCACAGTCTTTCTCTGGCTCAACCTGTTTCAATTAATTCCCAAATTGCAAAGGCCTGGCGCAGCCCCTCCGTTTGGCTCCTTCGTCCTTGCAGTGTTGCCCTGACATCTTGAAAGCATTCTCACTTTCTGGCAACAACAAGATGTTCCAGACTCGTCCTGGCTTTTTTCCTACTTCAAGACACGGAATAAGCTGTCCTCCAAAGAATGCTCATTCCTTGTTATGGTGAACGGTATCAAAGGCCACAATCCGGGTGCCTGGGGCTCCTGGGGCACGAAGGGAGCGGGAGGGAGGCAAGGGTGCTGCCTTAGTGGCCACAGAGACAGGACCTATTTCCTTTTAACGCTACGTGTCCTCCCGCTCTCCCCTACCCGCCCCAGCGTGTCCCCGCCACTCTCTCCTACGCGCCCCAGCGTGTCCCCCCGCTCTCCCCTACGGGCCCCAACCTGTCCCCCCCCGCTCTCCCCTATGCGCCCCAGCGTGTCCCCCCGCTCTCCCCTACGGGCCCCAGCGTGTCCTCCCGCTCTCCCCTACGGGCCCCAACCTGTCCCCCCGCTCTCCCCTACGCGCCCCAGCGTGTCCCCCCGCTCTCCCCTACGCGCCCCAGCGTGTCCTCCCGCTCTCCCCTAGGCGCCCCAGCGTGTCCTCCCGCTCTCCCCTACGAGAGATCCCAGCATGTCCCGCCACTCTCTCCTACGCGCCAGCGTGTCTCCGCTCTCCCCCTACGGGCCAACTGTCCCCGCTCTCCTATGCGCCCCAGCGTGTCCTTCGCTCTCCTGTGCGCGCCCCCACTTCCCCCCGTTCCCCTGACGGGCCTCAACCTGTCCCCCCTCTCCGCTACGCGCCTCAGCGTGTCCTTCCGCTCTCCCGTTGCGGCCAACTGTCCACCGTCGCCCCCTCTCCGCCTTACGCGCCGCAGGTGTCCGCTCTCCCTAACGGGCCCAAACCTGTCCCCCCGCCTCTCCCCCTAATGTGCCCCAGCGTGTCCTCCCGCTCTCGCCCCTACGCGCCCCAACGTGTTCCCCCTCTCCCCTACGCGCCCCAGCGTGTCCCCAACCCCCGCTCCCCTCCCGTACGCGCCCCAAGCGTGTCCCGTCCTCCCCCTACGCGCCCCAAGCGTGTCCCGCTCTCCCCTAACGCGCCCGACAGCTGTCCCCCCGCTCCGTCCCATACGCGCCAGCCGTGTCCCCCCCGCTCTCCCTACGCGCCCCAGCCGTGTCCCCCCCCCGCTCCCCCCTAGCGCCCCAGCGTGTCCCCGCTCCTCCTACGCGCCCAGGCGTGTCCCGCTTCCCGTACGCGCCCCAAGCGTGTCCCCGCTCTCCACGCGCCCCAAGCGTTGTCCCCCGCTCTCCCCTAGCGCCCCAGCGTGTCCCCCCCGCTCTCCCTACGCGCCCCAGCGTGTCCCCTCTACGCGCCGCGTGTCGCCTCCCCCTACGCCCCCAAGCGTGTCCGCTCTCCCCGTACGCGCCCCAGCGTGGTCCCGCCGCTCTCCTACGCGCCCAGCTGGTCCCCCCTCTCCCTACGCCCCGCAGCGTGTCCCCTCGCTCCCCACTAACGCGTCCCAGCGTGTCCCCCCGCTCTCCCCTACGCGCCCCAGCGTGTCCCCGCTCCTCCCGTACGCGCCCCCAGCGTGTCCGGTCTCCCTACGCGCCACGCGTGTCCGCGCTCTCCTACGCGCCCCCAGCTATGTCCGCTCTCCCCTACGCGCCCCAGCGTGTCCCCCGCTCTCCCACTACGCGCCCAGCGTGTCCCCCCGCTCTCCTACGCGCCCAAGCGGTCCCCGCTTCTCCCCCTACCGCCGCCCAGCGTGTCCCCCCCGGCTCTCCCCTAAACGCGCCCCAGCCGTTACGCTCTCCCTACGCGCCCCACGTGTCTCCGCTCTCCCCTACGCGCCCAGCGTGTCCCCGTCTCTACGCGCCCAGCGTGTCCGCTCTCCCCTACGCGCCCCAGCGTGTTCCCCCCGCCTCTACGGCCAGCGTGTCCCCCACGCTTCTCCCCTACGCGCCCCAGCGTGTCCCGGCTCTCCTACCGGCCCAGCGTGTCCCCCCGCTCTCTACCGCGCCCAGCGTGTCCACCCGCTCCTCCCGTACGCGCCCCAGCGTGTCCCCCCGCTCTCCCCTACGCGCCTCAGCGTGTCCCCCCGCTCTCCCTACGCGCCCGCCAGCGTGTCCCCCGCTTCCTACGCGCCCCCAGCGTGTCCCCCCGCTCCTCCCCTACGCGCCCGCAGCGTGTCCCCCCGCTCTCGCCCCGTAAACGCGCGCCCCAGCGTGTTCCCCCCTCTCCCTACGCGCCCCAGCGTGTCCTCCCACCCGCTCCTCTTACGCGCCCCAGCCGGTCCGCTCTCCCTAGCGCCCCCAGCGTGTCCCCTCCGCTCTCCCTCACCGCCCCCCAAGCGTGATTCCCCCCCCGCTCTCCCCCTACCGCCCAGC